TTAATCGTCATGCTGATAGTGTACATTTCACCTACACCATGTCATCCATTGTTGCTGTCATTTTAGAGTAAATTTGAGTTGGATACTAATGAGAAAACCTCCTTCAAGTTCGGCCTCCGCAATATATATTCATTGGTCTTCTATTTTTTTTCTTCACATTTTTTCAGATAACAACGTCTCGAAAAATTTAAGTTTTTAGATAAACTACTACTGGGCATTTTTTCAAAAAATAAATGTAAACAAACCTATGCAAATTACGTCAACTTGATCAAAGGACTTTCTGATAGTTCTGTGGAATCCTCCACTCATAGTTGGAGTGCACATTGTTAATCAAGTTAGTTGTACTTTATGGCACTACCAAATTTTGCAATACAGAAATATAGCTGCCTATTCAGAATCAGCTAATTGAATCCGATTTAATATATTTCATTGGCACATAAAATCAATGCAGTCAAAGTATCAAATTGCACATTTTTATTTTTTAAACTTTCTTTTCGGTATTCAATATAGTAGTTCGCAACGTAATTTTTTTTCCTCATAAGGAAAACAAAACGACATTTTTCAATGCAGGATTGCATCATTTCTATGCATTATCACACTCACATGTTTTAATATTCGTGCTGCAAAAAAAAATTCATAAACCCCTCATGCTAAATGATTAAAGGATTGGGCATACTCCCAAGGTTTTTTATTGCAGACGCCATTTCTCGAGAAGGTGGATTCCTAATTTCCTATAACTCTAAGTTAACCCCTTTAAAAGAGTGCAATGAGCATTGTCATTCAACAATTCAACCATATTACTATTGTCAAGATTTGTAAAATGCAAAATCTCAATTCTGATAGGGCCGAGTCTTCTTCTCCAAAAAGGAGAAGGTTGAATAATCAAGAACCAGAGTCCCTTGAATCTCTTCCGTACGAGATATTGTTGGAGATTTTTTCAAGGGTTGCTGATGATGGGATCGTTGATATTTACAATGTGCAACTAACTTGCAGAGAATTTTGTCGTGTTGTTGATGATTCCTATTTATGGAAACGTGCAGTGGAATCATGCTTGCTGATTAATGTGTTACTTTGACGTGCTGAACGTCTAATTGTGTGAAAATATCCTTGGAATAATTTCGTTTGCAGTATCTCGATTTTTTTTTTTCAAAATTACACCGAAAATTTAAGATACTAGCTCACCTTTCAATACATAGAAATTGTAAGTGGGATATAATTATGAAGAAACTTATTTTTTCGTCTTTAAAATTTATGGAATCTGAAGAAGCTCATATTGTAGTTTTTATAATATCAAGATATCCAATAGATGTGTCCATTGATGAACCAATTGCTCATCACTTATAAATACTGCCAAAAAAATTTCATTCTTCTAAATTCTTCTGCAACCCACGTTCTATAAGAAAAGCGTAATAAAATCACTCACAAAAAAACTCAATGACAGAATCAAAGCATGACATCCAAACTATTCCAAAGGAGTTGTTGATTTATATTTTCTCAAAGGTGGCATCTCATTCGTTTGAGGACATATGCAACGCCAAGCGGAGCTGCAAATATTTCCACAAAATTATGGAGCATGACTTAGTCTATAGGCATGTATCCTTCGAACTGTTCTCAAAAGAGTATGTGGAATGGTTTTCGAAAGAAGTCTTTCATTGGTGTGATGCAGATGAATCAAGCTTCTGTGTTAAAGTGTTAGATTCTGATTTGTATGAGTTTGAATTATGTCCACTCAAAATATTCAACAAGGATGGGGAAGTCAGGTTCTTCCAACATTACTATGAGCGTGGCAATTCAGTGATGCATAAGAAGAATTAAATACATATTAGATTTGTGTTTCTTGTGATCTTTCTTAAGAGATTTCTGGATGATTTTTATTTTCGGCCATTTGTTTGAATATGATTGAAAATTGCTATGACCACATGAACAACAATGCTAATGGAGTTGCCTCATTTCTTTTTGTTATGTACAGTTTTATGGATTTTGTTAATTAAACGTGAAGCAATGATAACTCTAATGTCTGTGTCAATTTGGATATGGAATTGCAATAGTCATCTGTCAACCAATGAACATTTTTTTCAATTGGAGAGTAATAACTGTTAAAAATTATTTGCTGGTACTCAGAGAACAAAGGAAAGAGAAGAAAGGCTATCGAGAATACATGAATGTAAAATTTCATTTGTTTTGAAATATTTGCTGATCATTACACCTAAGTCAGAATAATTTTTCGTGGTGTTGTCTATATCAGCATTGATTATTTCTCTCTGTTGTCTTTTAGTATTCCCAAGGCTTTTATTTGTTGTGATGATATTGACAACACGTTTTAATATATTAAAACCTTTAGTATTCCTTAAGCCTTTAATTTTTGTAAATGGTTTTACGTCTTCCTATACTCATTGCTGTTAACATCTGCATGTTTTTGCATTGGAAATAGGGAGCCACGATTTTAATGCAATAAGAAGCTACAATTACTTATTGGAGATGATCTGCACACCACATCTTTTTCGTATAGCAGGTGACCTTTCCATGTCGTTCTGTATGAATCATTATTCTGATTTCTTTTAGTAATTTAAGAAAGTTAATTATTATACACATTAGTGTTTGTTGGTATTCGTCTTAGAAACATGGAGCCATGGTATTACAAAAAACATGATCTATCATGAAGATCTTAATAACCAATAACCAAGGCCCTTTTTTATTTTTGATCGACAGATTGAGGAGATGTTGGGTATGGCTCATACTTCACATGATGATGTTGGCTCTAATTGTCGGGGTCAGCAGAAAGGCAACTGGGGTCCCGCTCGTAGAGGCTAGGTAATGTTTAGGCCTCTGTTTCTATTGTAATTTTCTTAGCAGTTTGGGCTTGGACCCATGAATAGCTGCTGTTAGGGTTTCTTGTAATTCTATTTATATTTGCCTTGTAAACCGAGAGACTTGTAACGAGTGGCGGTAAGGTGAATATAGTACAGACAAGCTGGACGTAGCCTATATTGGGTGAACCAGGGTAAATCATCGTGTCAATCTCTCTACTCTTGTCTCCTTTTTTTGTTTTCTCGATTCTGTGTGATTGTCGATTTCCAACACGAGACACCTATTTTTTTTACCGTTGATCCATGTTTATGATTAATTATGCAGTAATGAATATGGAGTATAAAGCTTTTCTTTATATATAAGTCTACATAAGCAAGATAGCAAAGAAAAATACATTTGATTGAGTGGTGTGTCAACAGTTTCAAAATTGAGTAAATGGCTGATTCATCTTATGCAAAGAGGGCAAAGATTGAAAAGCGTGAGTACTGCTCTATCAACACCCTTCCAGACGACATATTATTAGAGATATTTGCAAGTGTGGCGGCACATCAAATCCATGACATATGCAGCGTTGAACAAAGCTGTAAGGATTTTCTCTATATTGGAAGGGACAATTTTTTGCTGGTGCGCGCAACAGATAGTCTCCTTGGTATAGAGTGGTAGGACAGAAACTTCTACGGTGGAGAAACAAACAAGACGCACCTTGACTGATGAAGTTGAATAATGAATTTGTCTTTTTGCTATTGTTGAAGTATGCTTTGCACTAAAAATTTTAATATTCCTTTGACTTTGAGAAAATATAGAAGTAAAAGAATTTAACTTCGTCTGTTACGTACTTATTGTTTAATCAAAATTTGTGTAGTTGATATTTAAAAAATTCTGTGTGAATGTTACAGGTTTTTAAAGTTCAAGTGACAAGTGTGTTTTTTGTTCCTTCATGTTTATACCATCATCGCAGTACCGTTCAGAATTTGATAGCAAAATGTATGTATTGATTTACCAGTGCGATGATTAACCACAACGGCGACAATGATTTCGTTCTTTTTTCCTCGGACATCGTATGGATAATTCACTAGTATAATATATAATGAAGTTTACTTTCATGGGATATGACTTGATAACTCACCAGACTTTATTTTATTGTTGATAGTTTGTCTTTGAAAATCATTGCTAAGTGGATTTGAATTCGCCCTAATTAAAAGAATACAAATATAGATAGTTAATAATTAACATTAACATCAATTTTTTTGAAGTTATATATATATATGAGGAAGATTATACTTACAACATTTTTTCTTTACAATCATATCTTAACACCGTTGATTTCCGCCAATCAACGGTTATGATTTTCGCAAATTAAACTCATTAATTAATTATTAATTCACAATAAATGATAGTCGAAAATCAACGGTGTTAAGATATGGTTGTAAGAGGTTGTAAAGAAAAAAAGTTGTAACTATAACCTTCCTCTATATATATATATATAAAATATAAATAAAATTTTGACAAATATTTAAGAAAACTAATTACCAAAAGTTAATATGAGATATTCTGTCGGTTAACTTTTTTCATATTTTTATTGTATTAAAAATTGTAAATTAAAGCCATTAAAATTGGTATATAGGTAATTTATATAAGGGATAAGATATTGTGACAACCACATCTTAACCGTTGATTTCTTTCAATCAACGGTTATCATTTTTCAAATCAAACTCATTAATTAATTATTAATTCACAAAAAATGATAACCGTTGATTGGCGGAAATCAACGGTTAAGATGTGGTAGTAACATTATTTGGTTGTCACAATATCCTATCCCTTTATATAAATACATATGTTGAAATCTCTAAAAAAAAAGAAAAAATTATTGATTAAAGTCAAGGACAAAAATGATAGAGAAAAACTGACATGATACCAGTTAAATGTGAATGATAATAATTTACCAAAAAAAAAAAATGTGTATGATAATACGAGGAAATCTTACCCTCCTATTTTACCATGTATCATGCAACGAAGGGTATTTAAATCGAAAATTGAAAATAAAAAAAATTAAATAGAAATAGAAAAAAACACACGTGGAGACAATTGGTGATGAGCAGGATCTAGAAGGTTAAATGCCGTGCTCTCCAAAGCGAGAGTCGTAGAGTCGTAGTCCCTCTATTTATTATTTAAGGACCATCTCTAACGTTTATCTTTTGTCTTGTACCACAGAAACCGTCTTTTGAACTTCTTTTTGTTCCTCTTTCCTTTCCCTCGTAAGGTAAATCTCTCTCTCTCTCTCTCTCTCTCTCTCTGATCTTATGGAGTTCAATGTGTCTGTTTTCTTGGTGTGGCTTATGAATTGGTTGCGGTATTTGGAGAGCTTTTCCTGAAGGTAGCTGTTAAATTTGGGGTGCCCATTTTGTGTTGGGTCTGTGAATGTTTTAAAGTTTGAATTTTGGGGTTGGGTTCTTGATTGGGTGGTGGCACCCCATTGTGGAAAAGAGTCTGGTTTTCTGGGTTCAAATTGTAAAAGTTTTATCTGGGTCTTTAAATGGACGCGTTTCTTGGAAAAGGGTCATTGCATTTTTGTGGAAGTTGTGGGTACTGAGTTGTTGTTTTATTGTTTTCTTTTATCAAATAGATGTTTTTCTCTTTTCTTAGTGTTTCTTAGCAACCGGGGGTTGGGGGATGTCCTTGCTGTCATCTTTTTTTTTTTTTAAATACATGTCTTCTGATAATGATGGAAATATAGAGGGTTTGATTTGTGATTGAGAAAATGGGGTTGGAAGAGTGGTAGGAATTCACGTTTTTGATTATTGATGTGCCTGTTTCTCCGTGGGGGAGACAATCCTCATGATTTTGCTATGTCTTTCACATGCTTAGTTAATAAAGGTATCTATCTTTTCTATGGTTGTTTCCTTAAACCTCTTATCAAGCTTCATTATTGATTCTGTTAGGTTCTTGTGATTAGTTCTATTGGACTATTTGCATCAATACTAAAAGGGATCCACTCTTTCAAGTGATTGCGGCTGATTAATTCTACATTGAACTGCTGTAAATGGCTGAGGTATGTGATACTAATGTTCTCTGCCAAGTTTTTGTTTTGTTCACTCTTAGGAATTTAATATCCTTGTAGTGCTTGCAATTGATATGGTATTTATCACTATAATTGATTGCAGGAGGGTCAAAGGGTTTCTCTAAATGTTTATGATCTAAGCCAAGGACTTGCTCGACAGATTTCAAGGTCATTTTTGGGGAAAGCTATTGAAGGCATATGGTAAGTGATTTTCTTTGTTGCTTGTCCAAAGCAGAATGTTCTTGATCTGATGCGATAATTTGCACTTGTATTCAAAGAAAACTGGACATGGGGATTTGTTATGCCTATGTTGTTGAAATTTTGATGCTGTGATCTGTATTATTTGGTTGTGTTATGCTAAATGAACTATATAGTTGAATTAGTATAGAAATGGACATGACTCAATATCTTTAGTGTGCCATTCTTTTATTGGAGTTTTAGTGTGCCAATATTTTGGATACTCTGTTTGTACTTCAGGCACACAGGAATTGTGGTTTATGGCAATGAGTATTACTTTGGTGGGGGCATACAAATACAACATTGTCGTGCTGGATCAACACCTTATGGAACTCCACTTAGAGTGGTAGATTTAGGTGTCACACATGTGCCCAAGGATGTCTTTGAAATGTATTTGCAGGAAATCAGCCCGCGGTACACAGCTGAATCCTATAGTTTGCTTACCCACAATTGCAACAATTTTACCAATGAAGTTGCCCAATTTTTGGTGGGTGCAACCATTCCTGAATATATTCTACAGCTTCCGAATGAAGTTACGAGCAGCCCAATAGGGACTCTTTTATGTAAGTTATCGTCAATATCACTTTACTTAAATTCAAATAATTGTTCTGGTTCGTCCAATTTAGTATGTTATAACAATGTTTTGACAGAATGAAAGAAGAATAATTTTTTTTTTCAAGAAGTGCTTATGACTTGTATAAATCTATTTCATGGTAGATGTAAAGGAATTTTCATCTATTTCTCCTTGTAGAAGTGTAACAGTTTGAAGGACGATGTTAGAGAATGTTTCATTGGAACCTTAAAAATATGACTAATTTGAGGGGCTATTTTTTTTTTCCTTTAATTATAACTTTGGCATCATCTGACATGTTATATCTATTACTTTGATTTTACAGCGCCCATGTTAGAGATGTTTGAGACAACATTGAAATCTGGTGGAGTACCCCTAATGCCCCATATTATTACCCTAATGCCCCATATTATTAGGCCTTCTACTGTGAGTCCTTTATGTTCTGCTTCAGTAAAACCCCGAAATAATTCCAGTGCTCCTAAGACAGAGATGTATAACTCTGCTTCACATAACGAGGCCAGAGTAGATCCTCTTGCCAATGCACGTAGCCTTGTTCAAGATGAGATATCGAGAGAGTTTTTTTCAATTCTGGCAAGTGGGACAATGCGTGCTAGTGAGGCAGCAGTACTTGCCACTAAAAGAATCATGGAAAAATTTGGCCAGACTGATGTTTCACAGAGTTAGCATCTCTTGTTTTACTTGTTTGATAAAATTGTGATCTTTAACAATGGTTCAAAAATTAACATTGCATGTGATTGGAAGGTGTGAATTCAATGACTTCTGCTTGTTTTTTGTTTTTTAATTTGGTTTTTAAAGATTATTTCAGGGTGTCAATTCGTTGATCATGTGAGGGATTCAATGAATCTGGCTGCGTTATAAATCATGTAACTTAAAATAAAATAAAAAGAGTAAATATTATTTTTCGGTCCTCTAACAAATTTTATGATGTCTGCTTTGGTCCTTAGCAAATAAAAAGACTATTTATGGTTTCTGAGAAATTTAAAATAGACTCATTTTAATCCTTTTGAGGGATTAATGTGGGTCTTTTTTGAATTTGTGAGAGATCATGATTTCAACTAAATGAGTCTATTTTGAATTTTTTAGAGACCATGACTAGCTTCTTTATTTGTTAGGAACTAAAGCAGGCATCGTGAAATTTGACGAGGATTAAAAATGGTATTTATTCTAAAAAAAAATATGAAGTGGGAAGCATAATATCAAGTTGATATTATTTAATGACTTTTTTTTTTTATCTATATAGATAATCTTAAATAATATTTATTTCAAAATAAAAACAAATCATTACTTTTTGAGTTGTTGGGCCTCCTTTAGTTTATGAAATAAAATAAGTAGAGCGAGAAAGACATGGTCGAGCCAAAAATTCGGTTGTATTAGGATTTCAGTAGGTTATGTATTTAATTTTATTTGTATAAAAATAAAATAAAATCGGTCACTGAAAACTATGTTGAATTGGGAACGAACGACGATCATTTTGTCATTTTTTGAAGAAAAGATAAATATCAAAATGAAATGTTTAAAAAACAATTTGATAATCTGTTATTTTGCTTTCATTTGCTGGTTGGGGGCACTGACTTGACCATACTTGGATGAATGCACTTTAATTTCCTCTTTTCTTGTTTCTCTAATGTGACGGGAAGTCGGAAAACTCGACATGGTTGATCAGACAACTCGATGAGTCGGGTTACCTGGTGCCATTATTAAGGCAAGCAAGGGTTTTGTTTATCCCACTTTCGTCTTGGAAAGGCGAGTGCTCAGGATGCCTCTAGGCAGCAAGGAACTTTATTTATCCCATTTTCGACTTGGAAAGGCAGGTGCCCAAGGTACCTTAGGCAACAAGGGATTTTATTTTATCCCGCTTTCGGCTTGGAAAGACATGTGCTCAGAGTGCTTTTACATAGGCAACAAGGTACTTTATTTTATCATGCTTCCGGCTTGAAAAAGCGGGTGCCTAGGGTGCCTTTACATAGACAACAAAAGGACTTGTAATTTCTTTCTTTTCGTGTAACACGTTTTGGAGAAACTCATTTTCTTCATTCTCTTAAATTTTAAACTTAAAATTGAAACTTCTTGAAGGAAACAAATGCTGAAGGAATTCTAACCATATAGTGACGGGAAATGAGCAAAATAGAAATAAAATAATCGTGGCAAGTTCCTCATCCTATGTTCCGTCTTCGAGTAACTAACTACAGTGTACTTTTTTAATTTTGCCGCATTCCAATGCTTGGGATTTTCCATCCAAATGTTGCAACTGGTAGGCTTCAGAGTCTGTGTCCAATTACCGGGTAAGGGTCTTCCTAATTAGCTGTTAACTTTTCATCCATGACATTCTTATTTCCAATATCTGCTCTTTTGAGCAATAAATCTCCAATTTCAAAAATCCTCTTCATCACAGCTTAGTTATATTTGGCCGTTCGTTGGATAGAGGCAAGTTCAACAATCATTGTCCTCTCCATTTCTTCCTCCAACAAATCCAAGTCAATCTTCATCAACTCTTCATTTCCTTCTTTCGAGATGTGTCATCTCCAAGAAGGAAATGAGGAGAGAAATGTGGGATTAGAACTTTATTCGTCCTCTGGTAGGTTTTGGTGATTTCTGTTATTTGCCATGGTCAAAGGTGGGATTAGAACTTTATTGTTCTCACAGACAGCGCCAGATGTTCGGAGTGAACACTATTAACTAGAGTTAGGATGATAGTGTAGGTTTATGAAGTATGCTCTAAGGCTAGGTGTGATTTTGGTCTGGTACTTACGGTGTAAGGCTAATGTGTATGAGATAGTGAGCGTGACAAGGTCTGGTAAATGTGGTTGAGTGCTATCTGAATGAAGTGTCTTCCCTTAGGTACTGTAGGCATATTTATACGAGCCTTGGGATGTAATTACCATAGTGATCGTTCGCTTAGTGGGTGATCATGTGTATCAGAGAGCGGAAAAATGATCATCCCACGACCTGGGTTCAGGAAATACAACCCAAGTCAGATATGTATTTCCTGGGTGGAGAGGTCTTTAGGACCTCTCCAAGTGGGCTTAGCTCGTTAGGCTCAAACCTAATGGGCCTGCCTAGGTATCTATCTACCTGGAACATTATCCGACCAGACAGAAAACATAAGCCAAAGAGAAAATATAGCAAAGATTTCTATCCATAAAAAACACAAATATCACATTTGTTGATTGGAAAATTCTCTAGATATCTTGGCACTCTGACTTCAAAGACTACCAAGCTAAGGGGCTTATGCTCTAGTCGGGCTGAATGGCCCTGCCCAACCAGCGCAAATAGCTGCCCGACAATACCACCATCACTTAGCACGTGGAGCACATATTCTTTTGCACACGTGTTCCTTCCCACTTTCCACACACACATTACCCTTTATATGTCATGGGTCATACAACCTCATATCTAGTGGGACCCTTAGGGCTGGAAACAATTATGGCATGATACTTTGGGCACTTGGAGGGAATCTCCAACCTCCTATATAAAAGGACCTCAGCTCCTTCATTATTCATCTTTTCCATTCGCTCCCCATTGTTGTTACTTTATTGAATTCTCTCCTCAGCTATAACTGTAACCCTCAAACATTTCCCTCTTTTGCACTCTTAGTTAAATTATGGCCAACACATGACACCTCATAGCTATTGTCTATACCATTTCTCTTACATCTATATCAAATCAACATACTTCCAGAACTTGCTTTTGAGGATTCATATCTAGAACTTCATACTCTACTTCAGTTCAATAGTTATAATGAGACATGCTATTGTGGAATATGGCTTAATAACCAACTAGACAGTATTGTTGATAGTTTGTCCTTGAAAGCTATTTTGTCCTGAAGTCAGAGGTATCTAGCCCAATGAACTAGTATGTTTATGTTGGATCTAGGTGCTCCCTCTAAGATATCTGAGTTAGATACCCTTGAGTTTAGCAGATCACTGTGCACAAAAGAATAACAAACAACTTTCGCCGAAGGGGTGATGTGTATGCAAAGTGACAATATAACAGTAAGAATGAGAGAAAGTAATCATACATGTAGACTTTACATCCTATTTATAGAGTTTACCTGTGGGTATTGGATTCTGGACCTTCTGTGCTTCTACCAGCAACCCATGCCCATGTTTAATGTTGTCGTATTAGGATTGATATCCTCGATGAATATCCTCCCTTAATTATCTTAGATTTATATTTGGATTGCCCCTTGTTCGACTTAGTGATAAATGGGCCTCATAAATGAGTCCATAACAGTTTCCCTTAAACCAGGAAGTATGGGTGTCCAGGACGCCGGGGTGCATATGGCTTTAAGAATATTTTGAACTTCTACAGGTTTTACACATGTCTGGGTTCCTCGGAAAGTTATCCGGGTTTCTTGAACATTATCCTGGTTCCTGTAGTTTCTGTATATACCAGGGTTAAATACCAAATTCTTCAGACCTCCCTTTAAGAAGCATTCAGGAATTTGAACTTACAAAAATCCTGGATTTTTGTATTAGTTCCAAGGGTCCCAAGGGCTAATATATTTGCCCCATATCTCGTCAAATTGAACCTTCAGCTTGCCGAGATATTTTTCATGTTGTTCTAACCTAAGTTATAATTGAACTTGGATTGTTTTTATATCCTGATGACGAGTTGCCCTTGGGCCCATTTTCTATCAACTCGCTTTAACTGCTCAATGCAAAGCTCATTGTTATTGCGTTTCGTGAGCAAGTATTTCTCTTGGAATCTGGCTCTTTGCCTCTGTGTAATTTCTTATATCACAAGTATATATGAACCGGGATTATCTTCGTTTATCTGCAAAAATTATGCTTCCAAGATAAGGGTATCATACTGTGAAAACAATTATGAAACCCTTACACGTGGTAAATAATGATATTATTAGCGTGTTGTAAGCAGCTTACACCGTCTTTGTATTTCATGCATATTAAATGCACAAATCATTTCATCTGTTTAATCATTGCTTTTTTTGGGTGAATTGGTGATTATACCCTTGACCTGTGCCATTCAAAACACCATCTGTTACTCTTACTATTCATATTCCCCCCTTTCTTTCCTTCATTTTATATTTGCAATCGCAAATGTTTTGAGAAGTTTCCTCTGTGCTCTTCCTTTCTGATTTTCTTTCGTACGATAATTTCTCTTAAAGCACACTCCAAAACTCTTTTCATTTCAACTCAGGTACTTCCATTCTCACTGTGAATTCCTATATTTCTTTTGGTCAGTTTGAATATTTGAATCTGTTCATGTTTTTTGAATCTCCATTTCTCTGGCATTTTGAGTTTCTGAATGCTCTTGCATCTTTGAATCTTGTTGTTTTTCCCTCATATGATATTGTGTCTTGTGAAGTTGTTGGCTATAATTGTCCTTGTATGATTTTCCTGGTATTTCTGAGTAAGTATACATTTTCTATTTGAAGACTTTAAACAAATCATCCATATTTCTTTTATCCCCAACAAAGGGTTTGATGTTTATCATTCTAAATGACATAAGTTATGTCATTTTAGGAGAGAGATGACACAAGGAATGAAAATCATGGAAGAGAAAGTGGGTGGTTTTTTTTAATTTAAATTTTAAATAAAAAATATTATTTTGTGTCTCTCTCTCTCTCTCTCTTAAAATGACATAACTTTATGTCATTTAAAATGACAACATTTTCCCCTTCTTTTATCCTCAAGAAATCATCTATATTTCTTTTATTCCCAGAACGGTGTCAGTGATGAAGGTTAGGAAGGAGATGAAGAAGAACTGCTCAAGAAGATTCCTCTTGGTCTTCGATATTGGTTCTAGGGAACGCCCATAACTGAAGAGGAGAGACGTGAAGCAATGTTCGTGGATATCGCGGTGGAAGTAGTAGAGGTAGATCCAGGCTATCAAACCCCAGGATTCCTAATAACCTTATTGGACGGGGTCGAAGTTCGAGTGCGTGGGGTAGAGGTCGTCCTTTTTCGAACACTCGTATCCCACAATATTTTCCTAGAACTCGATCAGAACCTTCTAAGATAATTTCCCATCCGAACTCGGATGTATCATCTTCTTCTCAGGTTCCCCCAAGATCTTCAAAACTTATATAGAACGGTCCTTGTTATTCTTGTGTGTTTTTAAGTTTCAAACTTATAGAGAGACGCTGTGGCTCTTTAGCCGAGTCCACTTTGTCAAGTTGTCGCCATGGAGATGTTTCAGGATCTTTCTCGACTTCTGGTGATGCAAATGATCCAATTTTAATTTCGGATAAATCTACAAGTTTATCGACTAATGATTCTTCAACTAGTAACTATTTTGATTCAGGTATGCCCATCCATTTCTTCTGATTATACTTCTCATTGTTTTAGGTATTTATGGGTTCATCTTCGTCAGAGATTGTAGAGGAGTCTCGCTCTGCTGAGTCAGATTTTGAGTCTTCTTCTGCCACATTAATATCCCAGTATCCCTGGGTAACTTATAAAGTTTTGAGTACTATATCCGAGATGAGCGTGGAGGATGTAATAGAGTTCAATGTCGTCAACCTAGAAAATTACGACATCATTCCTCCCCACTTAAATGAACTGGTTTGCTCAGGGAGGAATCCAGATAAGCCTTTTTTCTTCTTCTTTTACCGAGATCTTATCACCAAACTCGATATTCAGTTTCCTTTAATCGAATTTCAAATTTGTATCTTAAACTATCTCCATATTGCTCCTACTCAACTCCACTCGAATGGTTGGGGCTTTGTTAAAGCGTTTGAGCACTTCTTTGCTTATCTTACTTTACCTTGCACAGTTTCTGTTTTCTTTTTCTATTTTCAAGCCATTACATCTCGTGGCCGTGAGCCTCCGGAAAGAAAGAGTTGGGTTAATATCTGGGGTCATCTCTCATGAAATTTTTTTCACATTTATTCTGATTCCTTTAAGTTACTGCTCAACCCGAGAAAGAATCCTAGTTCCTTTGCTCCTCTGAGGCAGAGGATATAGAGGGAATATTTCCCTTATATTGGTCTCCTGACCATTACAATTGTGTCCTTCCAGTTACTGTTTTAAGGAAAATGAGTTGTCCGACATTGAGGTTAATACGGTCATTTCCATGACGACATATTTCGAAGTGCATGGTTATGCTAGCGTCGCATCATTCATTTTCAATAGGAGTTAGATTTGGAAATAAGTATGATTTCTCTACTATTTGCTTATTTGATATTTGTGGTATAATATTCCATCTTAACATGATTCCATTATTTTTTTATTTGCAATTCCAAATATGGAGGGACAGCCAGATGAACACCTGAGTTTCTTGGCCACATTTAGGTTGAGGAAAAAAGACCGCGATTGTCGACCTGACATCCCGGAAGAGGAAAACTTCTGACCCAATAACTAAGAAGAATCTTGCCAGAGATAAGTCCAAAGAGACCCCGGCTGATAAAGAAAAAGATATGCTGGCGTCTGCACAGGTTTTGGCAACTACCAATCAGACTGTAACATCCCGTCTAATTAGGAATTTATTTAAACTGCGATTAGGAATGTGGCAGAGCACGTGCCTTCGGATTTTATATAAATGCTTGCTTTAGGGGCGAGTTAAATTAAAGTAGAGAATTATTTGTATTACCATAGAAGGTGAGTATCTATGTTATGCATGTGAAATTCTAGTTATAAGTATAGGAAGAATTTAATTATGACATATAGCTATTCCCCAAGAATGGAATTAAATTCAATTTGATGAAGTAGTGGGATAACAATTATGATGAATATTTATTGTAGGCAATTGACACCCTTGTTAAAAATATAGGGACAAATGAAGATAACATATAGAAAGTGTAACACTAATTAGAACTATATGAGTATTCATTAGAGGTATGTGATTAATTTTATTTCAAAGAACAAACCCTTTATTGGACTTATATATTTGGAACCACCCTCCATTAGGGCCACGGCCCAAATCTCCAAAATTGAAGCCAAAAAATCAGCCCAAGGTACTTCTCCACATGACCCCTTATCTTACCCCAAACAAATCTTACATGTCCGCCTATTATTGGTAGAGAATCAGCCACTTGTTTCCCTCATCACTGCATGCGCATGGTGTAATGGAGAAAAGGAACTCTGATTGCTTGTATCATTGTCCAAAGTTACTCACACAAAGCACCCTCAAACCCCTTCAGCCCTTGTGCGCATGAACGGAGAAAAAGCCTAGCATCTTCTGGTCTCTGGTGACCCTTTTATCAGCATTCAAACCATTATGGTAGTACTTCCTAGGCGCTGTTTGGGGGAGACTGTACGGGGGGGATTTAATTTAGATACAGAAACAAAGTTGGGCCTCCTCTCATTCCAAATGACCATAGAAACCAATAGAGAAGAACCACCATCATCTAACTTTCCTTGCTTGTCATCTTTCGGTTCGGCCTTAGACATAACCGAGTGGAGAAGTAAACTCTTTGTTGCTTCCTAGCTCCACCCTACCATCCTCGGTTGATGAAGAGTCCCTCTGCATGCAGAATCGGCGATCCCTTCTTCTCCTTTCCAGCCGAAGCAACCACCATCAAGGAGGTGAGACATTTCTTCATCTCCTTACTTTCTATTTCATGAATCGGTTTAATGGGGTAAACTCCCTTGCATGTGGCTGAGTTCGTGGACTTGGGAGAGTAAAAGAGGGAGAACCTTGACGCCTATATTGGGGACTCTATTCTTGGCCATTTGAGAACCGTAGCTCACTTGGGAGGAGGTAATTAAACCTAAAACCTTAGACTCTTCACTCGGTCTGTCTCGGTTGTGGTATGCAGCCTAGGAGGATGTACATTTTTCATTCTCCTTGCTCCTAATTCTGTTGCATTGGAACCTTGGTGTAGACTAGCTTAAAGGATTGCTTGGAGCATGGAAATAGCTCCCTTTGGGTCTCAATTAATATGTTTCGTAGACTAGTGACTCTGCTTGTGTAAAAGATAAATTACAGCATGCTTATTGGTTCCTTTTAGCGCATCATTGGTCTTGTAGAAGAGGATAAATAAATGAACAAAATTATGACTTCTAGCCTCTAGCCTAAACCGTTTAGGTAGGTGCTAGAATCTTTAGCTATGCACATCAGTAAAATAATATGAAGACAGAAAACTAGTAGTGTGGCACATGTTTAAGTTGGATAAATCTCACACTAAAGGATTATTGATTTAATTTTAAGTCATGTAAGCAGTTTGATCTAACTAAAATTCTGAGCCTCTAGGGAATAGTTTTCGAAACTAAATCTGTATGTTTATGTAGTCTTAGAATTTTGTCAATTTTGAATTGAATAAAAATTACACACACTTAGTACCTTAAAAAAAAAAAAAATCGAATCAGAATGTGTTGGGGCTTTGGATTGTGGTGTTGTTAACAAGTAAATATAAGTCAAACGTTAGAATCCCTTTTGTCTTGGTTGTTCGGCCATTCATATACATGTTAGGGGGATACCTTGCCTTGGTTAATAAGCGATGGAGGCAGCAAGTGAATGTTTAATTAACACATGCTTAATTTAAATGAATAATGCTATGTTAAACAAAATAAGCTGAGAGTCCCTAATTAATGACCATAAAGACCGAATCTGTATGGATGAGGAACCTTGAGTGTTGACTATTGAGTATAAGTAATAAAACCAAACATAAGTCAGAAAATCTACTTAGTTAAAGACCTTGGAATTCGATTATAAAATTAAGTACCCAGAGGAATGGAAATTTCATATGATATGGGAAAAATGTATTAAAATTCTGATCTGAGTATTCTGTTAATTTAGGACAAGGTAACTAGTGTGGGATCATGTAGCTGTATCAAATTCTTAAGAATTTAAGATTTACTTGGCAGCATACTGTATGCCTCACTAGCACACTCTAGTTAGTGTAAATCAGGTTAGGTAATACTATATATGTAGCACTTAATCCATGGGCAAGGAGCCGAATTTACATGCATGTGTAACTAGCTTGGATTCTGTTAATTAAGGACAATTGGTATATTAACTTGAGTAAGAAATTAATATGGTGTAGGAGTTAGGGCAAACCGATCACAGAATAGAAATGAAAAGCATGAAAATTCGTTGATGAACTATGGGAATGGCATGGAACAAATTCTGATTTGTCACACATGTATTTTAGGTGCACATAATTCTTATTGAGTGAGCTGAATTTTGGTGCTGTTGATTATTGCTTGGACACAAGGTATGTGTAGGAGGTATTACCTAATGTGACTATTGGCTAGTGTATGGAATTGTGATGTGTTGCTCACATTTGTTCTATGTATGTTATGATGATGATGAGCCAATGGTAAGAATATGAAAGGATGATATGATATATGCATGCATTTTACATCATAATACATTTTTCTGTTGAGTGCGATTGCATAACATGGCATGTATACTTGATTCATGACATCTTGAATATATATATATTTGTATTGAGGACATGTGACTGAGCATGCATCATATAGGCATGCCTGGTACCAGGAGAGGGGACACTTGGCTTCAGTCCGCATAGGTTCCACAGTGGGATTCACCTTCATGGGAGCCATTAGGAATACCCACTGTGATGCTGACGGTGCTATGAGCGTAAAGGAAAAGGGCGTTATATACGCGTTATGATATATGATGAAAAGGATTAAATGTTTGAAGTGACTATTTATGATTTTGTGCCTAGTTAATATTGTTGTATTATGGTTTTGTTGCCACACTACTGGGATTTTCTCTCACCCCTTTGGGGCTGCTATTTTTACAAAATGGCAGGAGGACGTAAAAGCTTTTGAGGACTTGGATATTTGCTGACCTCTACTGTTTGGGCATGCTGCTATTGATGTGATATTTTATGGATGACTGTATGAAATTGAGAAGCTTGTATTACTGTGAACTATGATTTTATTAGTGCATTACGATTTTATGACCAGTAAGTATTTTGGAAACAGATGTTGAAACGTTTGCGAAAAGGATTTTGACATGTTATCTAAATGCTGAGTTTTGAAAAGTCTTTGCGAGCACTTTGTAAGTTGTCGTACTGGGGCTACAGACCTCCGATTTTCTTATAATTTATATGCACGCGTAGCCCCAGGTGTCTAGTTTCATTATATATAAACCTTGCAAAGAAATTCTGAAAGATCGATTTATTATGAATTTTACCAGCCAGGACATTTGTGATATTTACACTATTTTCTCTCTTATTTTGCGAGTTATGTTTCGAGGGGCAAACGAACTCCAAATCACTATTATTTTATATGAACGTGAAGCCCCAGATGTCTAGTTTCCAGATTATAAAGAATATATTTTTAAATCGTTGAACTGGATTTTATACGAATTTTTAAAGACAGCAAGGTCCATCAGGAAATTTATATTTTTAATAAGTTTAAGAAATTTTGTTTACTCTAATTTTTGTAATTAACCAGATCCCCTCTTTAGTTTTAATTGGCAATGTAAAAGTGAATTTTTTCAGTCTCTAAAATACTATTAAAGAACTCTAATTCCGCTTAGCAAACAACTCTCTTGGAGGCCTACAAGAGAGGGTGTTACACAGACCCATCCTCCTCCATCTCCCTCTGGCCTCTCTAAAAGTGACATTTTGCAGACTGGAGTTCCTAATGATCTTCGTGATTTCCTTTGTCATCCTACTCATTTTTTTGATTCCAACCCTTTTTATAATACTGAAATTAAGGAGCTGGAAGTGATTGAACTAAATGTTGTGAAGATAGCTTCTCTGGCGAGGCCTTTACTTTCTTTGAAAAAGAAATACATCAAGACTCTCGCCGAGATAAAGGCTGCTATGGAGGAGAAGGCTAAGATTTATGAAGAACTCCTTAAGGTGAAGGAGGATTTAAAAACTTCTAAGTCTGAATATACTTCTCTTGAGCCTTTGCATGTCAATAATGTCCAATCAATGAAGGATTTTAAAATAATGTTTGAGCGCAATGAGAATAAGTTGAAAGAGGCTGAAACTGATGTTCAATACTATCAAGTCGAGCTGGAGAAATCAACATTGGGCTCTTTCTAAAACAAATTAAGATCCTCAACCCTGGCATCGAGCTCAGCACAGAAGGCTTACATCACATGGCTTATGTCAACAATGGGCAATTAATCCCCCCTCACCAATCTCCTACAGGTGATTCTGTTACTCAGTTAGAGGGAGACCGAATTGAAGGAGAGAAAGAAGTCACTATTAAGGAGGTTGCCAGGGTAGATGTTGAGCAAGTGGAGAAGCCTGTAGAGTGAATAGTCAGGGTGCCGATTTTATTTGTAATTCTTTTTTTTGGGGTCTTTGAACCTTTTTTAGATTTGTAATGAATATTGTCAGGTTCTTACCCGATCTTTTCCTTTTAATATTTCCCTGGCACTTATTTGCTATTATTGATTTCATGATTTGTCATAGCTTTATCCTGAATAATAAGGTGTCATACGCCTAAAAGTTAGGCTCACTTGATAACTTAAATATATTTTCAAGTATTTCAAACCATATCAGGATTATTCCATTACAGGATGGATTATCTCATTATATTTATTAACTCGGATACAATTTTGGAGTATTATCGTTGACCTGGCCGTGGTCAAACTATATTGGAGGGATTCCACACTTTTCTTTGTCTTGTATTTATTTGCATGATGTTTTTGTTAATTTAACTTAGCATTTTGCAAAGTTGCTACTTGTGAAGGTAAATATTGGTTCCTTTAATTTGCAATTCGGGTTTTGTTACGCTACTTTTATCCAAGGTAAAGGCAATATTGTCATATGTCCTAGTTTGGTTTACCAACCATAATATGGAACATTTCGACTTGATCAGAGTCAGTTTGACAAATCACACCTGTATCTCGGATTTGTATATTGATGCATATAACACCTCACAATTTTAAATCAAGTAATTAAAATATTAAGTGAGCAATCAAGTGATGGATTAGTGAAAATCCAAAAGATTAGGCCAAAATACAAAGAAAGGGCAAAACGGTAATTAGCCAACACGCAGCCCTAGGAAGATAAAAATTGAGTAGAAGGTCTCAGATGGTAAAAATAACCCTGGAAATGGGTTCAGAACGAAAAATTGAGTGGACAGGCAAGTTTCAGAAAAATCAGTGAATAGTGTTTTTCGCGGGTAAAAATACCGCGGTACGATTGCACCGTAAAACGTGCCGATTGAGTTTTGAGCTCTAGGTTTCAAATATGAGTTAAAAATGGTCTAATGAGTTAGGAAATATGATTTCTTATAATATTCGATGAAATTAAGACAGTTTGGGGAAGCGTGCCAATGACGCGCATAATAGCTTAAAACAGTGTTTTCTCCGAACGAATGGAGGACTCTTAATTCATCTGATCAAGCATATTTAAAGGGGAATAGTTAATGTTAAAAATTTGAGTTTCTAAATAGGTTGTGAATTTACGGACGTTTAGTGGAATCGGAGGAAAATTCGGATTAGTTTTAAATCGCGTAAGGTGGCGGTGGGACCCACCCCACTTAAGTGACTTAAGCCACATGTGCTTGGCACTATTCATGCATCACTTTCCTCCCTCTTCTTGCTCAAACCCGCAGCCACCATAGCCCTTCCCCTCCAAGATTTCATTTCACCATAACTTAGCCATTTCTTCACCAAATCCATTGATTCTTGTCTTGAAATTTGATGGAAATGGCCTTCTAAATCCATTGGTGGTACTCCCAAGCCTTGAAAGCCACTAGATTTTGAGAAAAACCCTCCCCAAAGCTGCGGCCCTTTCCTTTAGATTTGTGAAAATGGTGTTGATTGATGCTCCAATGGTGGAGTATGTTTAGGAGGAGCCTTGTGCCAAGCTTTTGGGTGAGTTTCCTTGTGTTCCAATGGTTTAATTTTGTGGTTGAATTTATGAACCCTAAAGAGGGCTTGTTGGATTGATGTGTTTAGATAGCTCAATTGGAAAATGTTTGTACATGAATGTGTCTTAGAATGATGTGTAGTAGCCATAAATGCAATAAAAATTATTGATGAAAAATGTGAATTTTTAACTTAGAAAATTTTGAGGTTGTCATGACTTTGAGTTTTGAAAATGTGTTAGGATTGGATTGATGAGTTGTTGTATGATTGTATGTTGATATAATAGGATTGTATGAGGTGTGGAATGATTAAAGTTGTATGGAAATTCCTTGGAATGCCATAGGGTAAAATTCGATTCTTTGAGGAAAGATTGAGGAATTAATGTTGAAAAATGATTTGGATGATGATTTGTGTAGTTATATGGTGCTTAGATGGGTTGTGTTGTGCTTGGAGAGTGTTTGAATCAATGGAAAAAAATGAATTGTGTTAGAGACCTAAATGAGCCCAGAATGAAATATTTCGCAAAACGATGCGTAAATGTCGAAAAACGGAAAAACGACGATTGAACTAGCCTCTAAACAACCTAAGGGAGTGTTATAAAATGAGAAAGAAAATTTAAAAAAATAAATCTCACATTTACACTACAATGGCCGAACCATCAAGGGAGGATGGGAAGGATTTTTGTGTTTTTGCGTTTTGATACTATTTTACGAGTACTGATGGATGTACATTATTGTATAGGTTGCCGTACGTCGACCTGAATCCCGAATCTTGAATCAGTGAATTGCCCTTGGTCCGGGACCAAGTGGATTGAGGTAAGAAATTGGTTCATTGCATGTGTAATTATAAATTAACATGTATGGGTTGAACTGAGAGTGATTGGGAATGTCCTCTGTGTAGGCATTCCGCTGTGTACCGAGTTGAGGGATAAGCTGCTGCGGAGCTTGTGGAAACACGAATTAAGGTAACCTCTTGGTACTGGGGCTTGTTCCCCTTTTCTGTTCCACCTTTCCAGTTGATGGTAACGGTAGGAAGTGTGTATGAATAGTATATAACACATGAGCATGCATGCATTATTGCTATGGGTACTTATGTACCGAGTCTCTGGCCAGTAGACAGTTTTATTAGCCTTCGGGCATTTTCGGACTTCCGCTGGATAGGTCTCCAGGAGGGAGTTCCAGTTGACTGCGGTCATGGTGTGTGATCCGGGTAGGAGCACACTAGGAATGTCTTTGGCGTTTTGGTTGGTTTGGGCATCATGGTTGTGGTTTCTGTGAACACACCTTGGATGATACCCATAGGCTTATATATGCCGAGGGCGTACGTGGAATTGGGGTTACCATCCCGTATCGTCGTATTTTGTTTTCTTTATATTCCCCATTCTCTAAATCCCTTGCTATATCCCGTTTTCAAAGTGGTTGTTGTATTCTATTGATATGCATCAAAGTGAACCATTGGGTGGAGTTTCTCCAGAACCTCTTGGTTACTGAGATATATTCGTATATCTCACCCCGTCTCGGGGCATTTATTTCAGGAGGTAGCAGTGGAGCAGGAGCCTCGGGCAAGAGGCCCGCAGAGTGAGCGCTGGAGCGCTTCATATCTTGCATTTTGTTGGCCGTGTGGCCTAGGCTAGACTTAGGGCATGAACATGTCATTTGTATTTATTAGTAGCTTCATTAGCATCTTGTTCATGCCATTTTGTCTAAGTCTAGTAGTGATGTATTTGGTTATGTTGTCTTTTAAATTAAGTTGAAATTTTAGAAGAATGTAATTTGAAGTTTTAGTTTCAAGTTGTAATTTGTAAAGCCATATTGTAATAGTATTGATGCATGTCTAATTATGATGGAAGGGCCTTAGGCCTATTTTAGGTTATGATAATATGTATGATGGAAATATGCATGAAAAAGGTGTTAGTGATTGCAACTACTTAAGAATGATTAATATGGACTCTATGTTTAATAACTATAAACTGGATTGGGTTGTAAGTGCCCCAAGGCGTTGTTGGTCCTTGTGTGTGCCACCCATTGGATTATTACTGTATTATCATG